TTTCCAATTTATTTTTGTGGTGTCATACCTATTAGAAAGACATCCATATTTTTGTGACAGTAGTTTTGTATAGGTCTCATGAGTGTGCAACTCAGGGAGTTAGGAAATGTTTCCGATCTGGCTGTTTCCTTAGAGTGCACTCTTCGGGGCCCATTTGCGCATCGGAATTTTACCGAGACGGGGGCATTTAATACTTCGAAGAAAGCGAGAGCTTCTCGTGCCTCCAGATCACCTGATTTTGGTCCCAGTAAATGGGAGTTTATGTCCACTGTAGTGTATAGTTAACAGCCGTGAGACCCCAACCCACCAACGAAACCCATGTATCCCTATCTACAAAGCCCATACATACACAGGCAAAGAAGGACACCTACAAGCCCCTCTTCTATCTCTGCGTTTCTCTCTTTTCCTCACCATTAAAAAGCTTAGCTGGTGCTTCTGGCACCTTTTTTTTTTTTTATGTCTGAAGCTGTTAAACTTATGTTGAGAGAGAGAACATAGATGGAGCAAAAAATAGGCATCCTACAGATTGGGTGCTCCATACAAAATCCCCGGCGGTGCAGGAATATCAAAAAATGCTATATGACCATTAAAGTAGCTGTTTTATTGGTACAAAAAGTATAGGGAACCGAAAACTCAAAAAGGCGTCAAAAAGGTTCCGTGCTGATGTTGAGATGTTCCTTCTTTAGCGAGGGTATCTGCTGTTGAGTTTGTCTCGCACCACGTATACCTCTATGAGACTGGTATAGGCCACCTTTCTCTTCCTTTTGTAACATGCGGGCTTTGTTCGAGCTACCTTGTGCTCGAAAACCAGCCCCAATTTACTGATTCACAGCCATCAAATATGGTTTTTCTTCATGTGTTTGTAAGTTTGAGAATGGCCAGCCAATCTGGTGTGGGTCTTTGCTTCAAGTGTTTGGTTTGAGAACTAGCAGATGTTTTGATGTCTTCTCTCCCTTGCTTGGCACCATTAATAAGAGAGAAGAAAAAAATGCATGCCTCTGCAACTGTTGTGTTTGCTCTCTCTCTCTTTTCTTCTCCATTTACAAGAAAAGAATAGAAGAAAACAAACCCTTGCTGCATCCCACCTCTTTCCTCTTCCTTCTCTCTAAAATAGCCTTGTAGAAACCTCTTCCCCAAAAATTCGACACTCCTGCTCTTGACATTGAGGGAATGACGAAAGACCATCAGAATGGCGAATTGTGACAAGAGAGGAGAGAGGGGTGAAAGTGGTAGAGAAAGGAAAGGGGGAAAGGGTGAAAGGGTGAAAGGGAAGGGTTTTAATGGGGTAGAGAGAGAGAGAGAGAGAGAGAGAGAGAGAGAGAGAGAGAGAGAGAGAGAGAGAGAGAGAGAGAGAGAGAGAGAGAGAGAGAGAGAGAGAGAGAGAAGAAGTAAGAAGTAAGTAAGTAAGAAGTAAGTAAGTAAGTAAGTAAGTAAGTAAGTAGTAACGTAAGTAAGTAAGTAGTAGTAAG